TATATATACATACACATACACACATGCATAATTATTACTTTAAAATAGATTGTACTGGTGATAATTGTCAGATTTTAAATTCACTATACTTGCACTAAAGTTTTTCCTTCTTTCGCTAGCAGAACTTTATGAGTGAGAGAACGATGCCAGAATGAGTAATCTTTATCACTGGCCTGTGTTCAATTACATTCAGCCGAAAAACTATGCCAAATTGTAGGTGCCATTGAACTTTGTAGATATTAATAGGAACTGGGTCTATTCTCAGCTCTCAAGGTAAAAACTTACTGTTACAACTGATCCCTGGAAAAATAGCACTTGAATCCTTGCACAAAGGATTCCCATTGTCTGCAAGTGTCATGAGAAGGGGTCTGATAATTGTTGGCCCTTGGAAAAGATGTGGACTCCTAAGCATCATACTTTGACTCTAGGATATTGTTAATAGTCAGCATATTCTATTTTTTTCCTTCCTATAACTCAGGGTAAAAGAAAATATTTCCATTGGTATGTCATTAAAATATTGATTTAATTTCAATTATGTTTATTTTCCAAAACACACCTAAAATAAGTGATGTGTTTCAGGGAATGTAAATTATTTTCAGAATTTCAGAAATTGAAAAAGGATAAGAGGAAGGAGAAAATGCTGGGCTGGTGTGAAGCGATAGCCCGGAACCCTCACCGAATCCCGAACAGCACGCGGACACCTGAGCTCTCGGGGGACCTGGCCGACGCCTCGCAGACCTCCACGTTGGTGAGTGGACAGCTATTTTTACCTCTGGGTTGCTCGTATGTAGATGAAATGCCAAGCAAATGAGAGAGACATGAGCTTCTAAGTAAGTGTTATTTTTGGTTACAATGGTTTTGGTACTGTAGCATTCCTGTAGATTGAGTTTAATTAATGAACACTAGTAAAACTATCTTGATGTCATATACTATCAGAACTTAATTGAAATTAAACAGCTGTTCTTTTTGCTTACTTTGGACATTGTCCTTTTACAGTGTTAGTGACCTTAAAGAAATATTTAAGCTCAAGCTCATGTGTTTAAATTCTGTATCATGTAATTTAATCGTTGGGAGGACAAACAAATTCGAAGTTATCCAAAGATGGTAGAAAATAAGAATTAAACTTTCTTGGGGCCAGCAGGTGGCGTAATGGTTGTGTCACTGGTCTCCCACACGGCTGACCACAGTTCAAGCCTAGACAAGTTGCTTGAAAATCATGCTAGGCATATGTGCGTGCAAGCCCAAGATCCTAGGAAGAGAATGGGGAAGAAGGGATTGCAGTGTGGCCATTCCCCCTCAGGGAGGTGATTTCTCACTTTCCCTCTCACTGTCTCTATCTCCTTCTCTTTTGCAAGTACATGTGCTGTATGGTAAAAACCTCTAAAAAAGAAAAAAAAAATTACACCTTCTTTATTTTTCTCTTTGTTTTAAAAACTAACTAAAATGGATTAAAAACCGATCACTTTTCACAGTTATTTAATTTCTGAATTAAATAATTGCAGAAATAATTTTAAGACCAAATTAATTCTTTTTTACATTTAGTTATCTGCTTTAAGTTTAAATCCTTGGCATCAGTTAGTCATAATTTTCCAGAGATTACAGAAAGAGATCTCTTTAGCAGGAAGGGTTGTAAATGTTCATTGTTTCCATTTGATTGCAACATTCTTTGAGTTAAAGAAGAGAAATTCCACTTTGTCTCTAAGTTTTAAATTGATATTATATATATTTTAATGATTGTTTTACCATTTTATAAAAACACAGCATTTTTATTAGCCTGATTTATTAAGGAATATATAATTAAGTATGAGCAAAGAATCATTTAGGTTTTTTTTTATTTGTACTTTTTGGTCTATTCAAAAATTTCTATTATTTTACTATATTAGTCCACTTGGGTTGCTCTAGCAAAATACCATGAACTGTTGCTTATAGACTACAGGGACTTACTTCTCATAGTTCTAGAGGCTGGGAATATAGAGGAGAAGGCTGATTCAGTGTCTGGTCAGGGCAGCTTCCTACTTCATGAGTGGTACCCCCTCTGGGTCCTCAGGTCTTTTCTCTAAAGGCAGTAATCTAGTTCGTGAGGGCTGCACCCTAATGAGGTCATGACCTAGTGACCCCCCAAATACCATACTAGGAAGTTATTATTTCTACATATGAATTTTCAGATCATGTCATGTACGCAGAAATAACAATTCTGAATAAACATTAATGTGTGGACATCAAGAGAAACCATGGAAGTAATCATTTTTTTTCATAGAAGTATGAATTGTGCTTAAGTGTTATCATTTCAGTAAGCAGGGGAAGGGCTGAGGGCATAGGGAGAGACCTGTGATGCTGTTGTACATCCAACATTCAAGGGAATAGATTCTTTGAAATGATCTGTACTGCCTCATTTTATTCAGACATGATCTTGTGTTTTGAAAGCTGCTTTTTTTCAGTCATGCTTGCTTGGCCTGAGTTCACAAATACAGGCCACACAGTAAAGTCACGCACTTCGCAAAGATGTTCCTGCGACAATGGGCAGCATAGGAGATGGCAGTCCCATTGGAGGACTGCCGGGCCCTGGTGCAGAGCAGCTATGTCACTAAGTTTGTGTAAGTGCACTCTGTGACATCCATACAACGGCAAAGTCACCTACCGATGCAGTCTGTATCTTCTATTCTTTAGACGATACATTTCATTAAGCCGCACATGACTGTCTCTGAGCAGAAAGCTGGACTCGGCCAGGCATCATGCAATAGCTAAGAAAGTTTTCATAAAAATATTACCTTTGTGCTTTGCTTAGAGTGGTTTTAGTTCCTAACTCTTCATAGAATCATAATCAAAACAAAACATCTTGAGCAAACTTTTGCCCAACCTTTTGTCACAGGGTGTCCTAATATCAGCTACACTTTACAGATGTGTACTGTAGCCCAGAGACATTAGCTGGCACTTCTCAGTGCCCTTTATGGAGTAAATGACCCTGTCTCGAGGTGGGGAGAAGGGAGAGGAGGATGACAACAGCTGATTATTAGGTTCCAGGAACTTCCCTAAGCATTTTCCACGTACTCTCAATTTTTATCCGGAGGCAATATGACAATTATTCCCATTTATCGATAAAGAAACCAAGGTACAGAGAAATTTAAACACCTGCCCAACGTGGCTTGGGTAATAACTGGTGAGGCCGGCACTCCGAGAACCCACGCCTTCTAAACGCAGAGGGCACTCTTGTGTGTCTCCCGGGAGGGGGGAAGAACACGGTCGTTACTCGACTTGCATACATTTGACTAAATGTGAAGATTGTAAGTGCGATCGTTCATTACAGTGAGGCATGAAGTCAGAGAAAGGACGTGCCCTTTATAATCCATGATTATATGTGTCAGATTACTTTCTCCTCTGTATAGACTGATCAATAAATATGGCCATTTTCACCATTACTTTCTCAATAACTGTCTTGATTGAGAAGAATGGGTTTTCCCTTTCCACTTTGTAAAGCAATTCACACTACTGCTTTTTAAATTTAGAAAATATTTATTGAGCTCAAAAACCTCTCAAAATGAATCAGAACCTTGAGGAGTTTGGGAGCTTTTGCTTCTGAAGCAAATATCCATACAATTATAACCTAAGTAGTCTGCGGGCATCTTACCTTGTTGACAGGGGGGAAGAAACATCTCTTTTTTATTTATTGTAACAAAGTTTTACTTGTTGAAAACAAAAACAAGCACCTTGTACAGAGTATGCTCTGCAATATATTTACTGAATCAAATCAGTGTTCCAATATTAAACTTAAAGTGAGTTCAGAGGAGGTCCTAAGACCCTCAAGTCAGAAAGTGAGCCATTCTGTGTGAAAATCCGTGGAAGTCAAACTAGGGAGGTTAGTAAAATGTCACTGCAGGTGGTCAGCACTGACTCCAGAGAAACTTACACTCCCGTAATCACCGATGAGTCTTCAAGGCTATCGATGGACTGCAGTAGGAAGAGAAGGGCGAAGTCTCACTCTCTCCTTGGCGGAGGTGACTCACCACTTCCAAACCCGGGCTCCTCAGCTCAGAGCGCGTCTTCTAGCATTCTAGGTGCGAGACCCAGGATGAGATGTTTGCTGTTCTGGAAAATACTGAAGAGGAAAGAGGCTTCCCAAGAAAGCTCTCAACAAGTATGTCTCATATATACACGTTATAGATGTAATATGTCCTCTGTTTAAATATATATAACCTAATATATATTTTCTATATATATTATTTATATTACATACAGTATATAATATGTAATATATATGTATAATTATACATTACATTTTCTATACAGTATTTATTAGCATAGTATGCATGTAATATATACATATTATATACATTATGTATAATGTAATATTATATATTGTAATAAATATTACATAATATGTATAATATATATAAAATATATATTACATAATGCGTGTTATATATGTTTATATATGGTATATAATGTACACACACTTTACATGGTATGTAATATGCACACAAAACTATATGTGTGTATATTGTTATGTGTATATGTTACATATATGCATTATATAATTATATATGTGTGTATATATTTTACATATATCACATACTTCATGAGAGCTGTATAGTATACTTTATATATAAAAACTGAATAAAAAATTATTTTTGGTAAGATATTTATTTATAAAACTTTATAACTTTCAAGATCATTTTTGTGTTTAATCATTTCATGAGCTAGATCACAATCTTGCTGGGATGCACACAATACAGATTTAATTTCCAAATAGGTAAAGAAATAGAGGTAATGTTACGAGTTTATGGAATTCACTTCAAATAATAAACTTTCTAATTTCTGGATTATTTATACAATATGTCTACTTGAAGAATTGATATGGTTGTTTGCACAATATAAGTGAAAACTCAAAAACATCAAATAACTAACCTCATATCGGTGACCCAGAGTGCTGTCTGATTTTAAATTCCAAAATTTTCCCAATTTATTCCAAACTACCTTTAGAAATAAGGTGCAATTTATAGATAATACATGTTCTTTGTTTAGTTCTGTTTTGTTCTAGAGAGAGTTTTGTTATCGGGTATGTGCACTCGCCAGAGAAAGAGACAGAAAATGAGAAATTGCCTCCTAGGGGGCATGGCCAAGCCACAATTCCTTCTCCATTCTCCTCTCAGAGTCTTAGACATTCACACACACACACACACACACACACACACACTGCAGTCAGGGGGTCCAGGACTTGAACCATTTCAACTACATGGGAGTTCAGTGATGTAACCATTATGCCATCTGCTGGTCCCAATAATCCATGTTTTACGAGTCAATTTTTCAGCTGTTGGAACAAACTCTTAGGCTCCTTACTCAGCCTAGTAAGTGTTTATTAATCAAACAGACACCTACTAAAGATTCATGTTCAGTTGTGTCATAAATATTTTGTTATCTTCAACATAGAACAATTGTGTTAAAACTGAAAATTGAAAACCTGTTAAACTTATGAAAATTCAGAAATAAAAATTATGTGACTCCCTTTAGAAGCATGTCGTTGGGTTTTATGTTTTAATGGAGGAATCTTATCATAACTAGCATTCTGGTGCTGTGGTCCTTGTAGCTTGTAGGTTAGTCCATTATTTCTTCCTCTAGTGCTAAACCAGACCACTTGCAAATTTGTGTAAAACATTAGAAAACAGCCTGAACTTAAGACTTTTCTTCTGAAATCCCACTCTTTGTTATTCAATAAACACTGCCCTTCCTTGGATATCATGCAGAAAAATGAAT